GGTGGATCCAGTCCGCCGACAGCACACCGGTGCGTCTGGAAGGCCTGGGGGGGGGGGCGGCTTGGGAGAGAGCGGCGAGCGGGCACACCCGGCGCAGGGCCCTGCACGGCCCAGCGGCGCCCCCTGCTTGCCGGGCGCCCGCCGGTGGCGCCGCGCCTCTTGTCACCCCCTCACCCCTCCCCAGCAAAAAGGAGGCTCAGCCGCACCTCAAGGAAGCCCCTGTTGTCGAGGAAGCGGCGCACAAACTGGATGATCTTGGCGCGCGTGTAGAAGATGTCCCTGATGGGCGGGTTGCTCATGAGGTCCAGGTAGCGCTGGCGGTAGCGCGTCTCCTGCGGTCACCGCGGAGCGCGGCCGGCGCGGTGTCGTGAGCGGGGCATGGTTGGTATTGAGGAGCGAGAGATAGTGGGTATGGGTTGGTGAGGGTCGGACGGGAGGTTGTGACGTGTGTGTGTGTGTGTGTGTGTGTGTGTGTGTGTGTGTGTGTGTGTGTTTGCGCGCGCGCGCGCACCTGGTTGGCCGGCGTTCCCAGGCCAGCATCCCTGGTTGGCCCGTCGTGCCGCCGCACCGCGCCGCCCCGGGCATCGCCCTCACCCTCTGCCTTCCCGGCACGCCAACGCCAGCCCCCCCGCCGACAATGGCATCCCGTGCCCGGGCATGCCCCCGCCCGGCCTCGCGGCCCCCCCTCCAAACCCCCCTCCAAACCCACCTGGTTCGTCAGCCCCGACCGCCCCGGCGGCATGTGCAGGCACGGCGCCAGCACCGCGAACTTCACCGGGAAGATGCTCAGCTCCCCCTTCTGGCTCTTCCCGGGGTACCCCTCCACGCCGATGATGTCGCCGCGCTTCGCCTCGTTGTGCAGCACGAGGAAGCCGTCCTCGTCCTTGTCGCTGTTGCGCGCGTCCGCCATGACCTGGACCTTGGCGCCCTCGCCGCGGAGGTCGTAGAACAGCAGCTTGCTGCCGCTCGCGCGCTTGGTGTACACGCGGCCTGGGTGCAGCGGGGTGGGGCAGCGGGGTCACGCCGCCGCAGGCCGCACGCGAGCCCTCGCTGGTCCCCGCAGCCCCAAAAGCCCACCTGCCCCCGGCCCGACGCGCCGCCAGCACGCTGCTGCCCCCGTTACGCCCCATCAGCACTTTTGTCCGCGTTCCTCCTTTATCCTCAACACCCAACACATAAATATGCATTACCACGCAGGCACGCAAACACACTCACACGCACGCGCGCGCGCTCGCGCCCTGCACCCCGCACCCGCCAGCGACACCGTGACGTCCTTCAGCTGCGCCCCGGCCTCCAAATCCTTGAACTTTGCCACGTACTCTGGGATGCTGCTCGTCACGGGCCACTTGTGGGGGTAGGGGTTGACGCCCTTGGCCTTGCGGCCCTCCACAAACTTGACGCGGTTCTCAAAGTAGAGGGTGGGGTCGAGCTCCTCCGCGCTGTCGTCCAGGAGGGCGGCCTTCTTGGGGGCGGCGGGCTTGGCGGCCGCGTCGGCGGCCTTCTTGGCCTGGAGGGGGGGCATGCGTGCACGCGTGCATGCGCCGGCGGCGGTTGGCGCGACAGGGGCGCGGGCGCGGCGCGGAGGGCCGACGCGTGCGCGGACCGCTGGCGGTGTGTGTGCGCGTGTGGGAGGAAGGCTGGCCCGCCCGCTCCCGATCTGCGCGGTGCCATCATTTGCACACCCTGCTGCTGCTCCTGCTGCTGCTGGCAAGCACACGGCCGCAGATCGGTCGGGGCGCTGTCACTGCCAGCCAGCCCAGCTGCTCACCGCCTTCTCGGCCTTCTCCTTCTCCTTTTCAAGAGCCTTGGCGCGCTTCTTGTACTCGCTACGGGCGATCGGCGGTGCGGAGGCAAGCAGGCAAAGCTCATTGACATGGGCTGCACAGTCGCCATGTGCAGCACCTGCACCAGCCTGCTGCGGGTGCAGCCGCCGCCGCGCGGCAGTGCGGCGAGGGCTACGGCAGCCGTCCGCACGACACAGATGCTTAAATATAACTTTCATGTTGATGCTGCAATGCGAAAAGTGCCCATTGGAGTGCTGCTGCATGGTGGCCCACCCACCTCTTGCTCATAGGCTGGCCGTTCTCATCCTTTAGGTCCTCCGACCACTTTTCAGGCAGAGCAATTGCCGCGGGCGCCTCGGTCGCCATCGTGGCCCGCTCTCCCACTGTCAGATCGCGTTCGAAAAAGAGGAGTTTGTGTCTCGACTGCACCTGGCTATTAGCAGCCTATCAAAAACCAAGTGTCGATCGCCACGGAGATGACACACAAACCCGTGGACTGCCATTCATCACTGTGTCCTCCTGCTGCCCTGCTCTTGCCCTGCACGCTTCAAGCCTTCATTTGGTACCGCTCTGATTGTCAAACCGCTCTGATTGCGCCGCTACTTGCAAATTACAACATAACCTCGCGTTGGTTTGCTGCGCATGGCTAGCACACCAATGTCACGGCCGCTTGCAACAGCAACCGTCAACCGACGACAAACAGCACGATGCTGATGCGGCCTCCCAAGAAGCACACTTGCTGCAGACCCGGCGGCAAGCGCCCAGTGACATCCAGCTGCTCGACGACCTGCCGGCGTCCGCACTCACAAGTATCCACCCCAACGGGCCCATGGCAACCCAACCGCGCGCGCGTGAACCCTGCAGCCCGCTGCCCTGCCCCTGCCCCTACCCCATCGACCGCTCGCCTGCTCCACCCCCTGTCCCCAAAAACGCACCACGCTCACCTGAGCCCCGCCCGCGTCAACCGTTAACTCATTCAGCCCCCGGCTGCTGCATCAGACACCATTCTGCACTGAGCGAGCATGCACTCGGGAAGAGTGCATGTTTGTATCTGCTGCAGGCTGTTCACCCTGATTTTGCGCATCAAGTTTGTCGGCGCCACAACAAGGGCGATTCTGAAAAGGAAGGCAGGTGCGCGTCTTGGACGACCGCTCCTGCGTGCCTTGGACGACTTCCTGCTCTGATAGTGAACCCATACGAAACAGAGGAAGCTCACAGCATCATCAGCGATAAAGCAAGTGACATGCATCCTGTACGGTGGCAGCCAGATGTGGCAGACCAAACAAGCCAGCGCTTTGAACGCTGCTGAATTGGAAACAGAAAAACCCCTAGTAAGGCCCCCCGCCTCACCTCTCTGCAGCAGAGCTGTACAGGGGCCTCGCATGCCTACTCTACAGACCTTGATCAGGTTCCCTCGAAGGGATTTAAGGTTGTGACCTCCGCACTCCTGATCCCCACAACCACCTGCCAGGCAGCTGGCCCACCCTGAGTGGCGCCAGCGCCCAACAGGCTCCCACGTGCACCGTCAGACGACGCAGCTGCGTTCTGTGCAGCGCACATACTAGCGGGTGCGTTGCCCGGGCGTGCGCCGCGGCAGAGCGGCACAGCTGCGTTCTGTGCTGAGCACATACTAGCGGATGTGCCGTCCAGGCCTGCGCCGCGGCAGAGGGACACAGCTGCGTTCTGTGCGGCGCACATACTAGCGGGTGCGTTGCCCAGGCCTGCGCCGCAGCAGAGCGGCACAGCTGCGTTGTGTGCAGAGCACATACTAGCGGGTGTGCCGCCCTGGTTGCGGGGCGATGCAGCTGCATTCTGTGCTTAGCACATACTAGCGGGTGCGCCGCCCTGACCTGCTCCGCAGCAAAGCGCCGCAGCTGCGTTCTGTGCAGAGCACATACTAGCGGGTGTGTCGCTCTGCCGGCAAGGCGATGCAGCTGCGTTCTGTGCAGAGAACATACTAGCGGGTGCGCCGCCTTGGCCTGCTCCGCGGCAAAGCGCCACAGCTGCGTTCTGTGCAGAGCACATACTAGCGGGTGTGTCGCTCTGCCGGCGGGGCGATGCAGCTGCGTTCTGTGCAGAGCACATACTAGCGGGTGCGCCGCAGCAGGCTGCCGCGACTGGGGCGTGAGGTGCAGTCAACGACCCAGGCGCGGCATGGTGAAGACGTAGTCTGTAGTCGTGTAGGTGTTGCCCGGTGTTGCTTGACGGTCGTCGTTTCGTGGATGAGATCAACAACATGAGAGGTCGGGCGATGATGATCGTACATGTGTGTGTTTGTGATTGTGTGTGATAGATTGCTTATGATAGAAATCGTGAGGCCTGTGCCTGTTGTAGGCGTGTCGCGGAAGGGCGAGGGGCAGGCGTACGTTTCTGCTGGAAGGTCGCTCAGAAGGCCGCTTCGAACGAGCGAATGGATCGACAAGATTGGCATGGAACTTACCGTGCTGGATTACACGTGAGGATCATCTATGATACTCTGGTACAGTGGTTGACCCAGGTTTGACCGGCGCGGCGCCGCTGCAGACAGCGGCGCAGCGCTTGTGAGCTTGCTGCAGTGCGCTGCGTCGCGTCCGCCCCGCCCTGTTCGTGATATTGCCTGCCAGCTGGTTGACATACGCTTGCACGAGAACAAAAACCTGGTGCACATCCCTGCCCACAGCTTTGAGCGCATTTCGCGACTGCAAAAGCTGTAGGGCCTGAGGCTGATCTGCCTGTCAGCCCAGCTGCACATGCGGCCAAGTCGTGAGAAAGCCCTTCTTCTGCCACAAGGTTCAAACTGCCAACCATCTGAGTAAATTGTGGGATTGCAGCCGAAAGTGGATGCCAAACCAAGACAACCAACCTAGAGGCTCTTTTGGAACAACATATGTTTGCCTGCAGACCAGCATGTAGACTGCTGGTCTGTATGCAGACATGCTATCTGCAGCCTACAATGGGGGCTGGCTGTGTCGTCTGGATTACTCGGCGCTTGTTTGTGTGTCGACAGCCACTAGCCTATTTTGTGGTTGCGTGACATAGTCTACCCTTTGCCTTGTGGTCTGCCAATCTGCTCAGTGCCTGCTCAATGAATTTGCTCAATCAACACAGGGCCAATCGGCTGGCAGTGGGAGGGGGTTGCAGTGCGGAGGGACGAGTGCTCCTGCTGAGGCGGAGGCATGGCGTAAGAATCAAAGACTCGTATACTGCCTGCTCAGCCTTGCAAAAATGGACTGCCATGCAGGAGCAGCGGGCAGGGGCGTGTGCGCCATTCGCAACAATTTCATCATGTCCATGCTCACCACACACCACCTATCTTGAATAATGATTTAAGTCCAATTGTTACTCGAGTTATAGCGTGTATCCTTGGGTGCTTGCCACTGTCCCCTCCTTCAACAAACAGGGGCCAGCCCTTGCTTTGATGCCAGCAGCGGGGCCTGCCCCAGGCGAGCCAGCAAGGCGAGCCGCCGCCACGACCAAAGTTGGATGGCATTGGGCATTCTTCTGCAGGCTCTTTGCATGCACGGTACCTGTACCCAGCTGGCGGCTTGACCCAGCCATGCTCGCCCATGGGCGGGCCCAAGCAAGCAACCCTCTACACGCATGGCACTGCGCGACCTTGAGCAATGGAGCAGCTCGCCCCTAATTTGACTTCTCTTGTTGTGCATGTCCGGCGCTGCAGGCTGCTGCATCTGACGGCGCCTCAGGGCCAAGCCATTGCCAGGTCAGGGTGGTTGGGAGAGTGCCGGCTTTGCGCCTTCGTGGGCACTGCTACCATGTCGGAGTAGCAATCATGCTGAATAGCTGGGGGCAATCGCGCCTCTCTCAATCAGCCCCATTGCAGCGGTCTCATCACCCTTATGATATGATACGTATTGCTGGCCTGGGCGCCAACAGCCATTGCCAACCCGGCCGGCTAATAATCAAGTTTTGTCCTTCGCCTTGTTGCAACAGCCAGTGGTGCTTGACATTCGCAAGAAGGCATGAAATTTGCCAATGTGGAGGCCCTGCGGGAATTCCTGGAAAACGGAGCTTACGAGTATGCCGACCAGCTGTGGGAGGACGGTGTGCGGAGTGTATGGGATTTAGCCAGCGTTGGTTCGGAGACTCGTCTGGCTGGCTCTGGCGTCAACCCCTACCATGCAGGAGGCATCCAGGCACTGGCAGGTGCGAGTCTGCAACTTGCTGCTGGGCGTGAGTCTCTGGTAACTCTCATAAGATAATGCATGTGTGTGCCTTCAAGGCCACACCTGAAAGTACAAAGCTGTGGGCACAGCTTGCGGCAGGTGTGCACGACCTGGCCGCAGCTGGCCTTGTCCTCCGCTGGTGCTGACATGGCTTGCGTACTGCTATCTCCTCATGTCGATCACGCCACATCTGTGCGCTGGCATCCGCTGATTGATTCTTGGCCTGTGCTGATCCGCAGCAGCAGGTGAGTTGGTGCAGGCTTTTGCCATGGTGCTTGTGGCCAGCCCGACCCTGTGTCCCCAGCTGCTGCTTGAGGAGCGGCTGTGGTTCCATGCAGCAGCAGGCCCAGTTGTCATAAGTGAATGCACGCCTCACCATGTGCAAAATGCCAGCAAGCACTGCTCGAAAGTTCATCGCATCGCTCTTGTCAGCTCGTTGAACTCGTTGATCAGCAGCTGATCGTCTTGTGCAGCAAACAACGACATAGGTTTTGCAGGGGCCTGCTTACAGCATGCTTGCAGAGCACTGTTCTGCAACATGCTTGGATCGTGCAAGAGCAGCAGGCCACACTGCAGCCCACGGTTGTGCTGCGTGTCTCGTTTAGTGCCAGCAATCACACTTGACCTTTTGCTTGCCGTTTAAACTGCACCTTCATTTCATGGCCTCCGTTTGGGCATCCTCAATTACCCCACAGCAGCAGCCGGTGAGTGGCGAACGGTTTTGATGCGCCTGGCTGTCATCAAAACACCAATGAGTTCATATGAATTATAACCTGAACTAAAGAAAGCCAACTCAGTTGCAAGCTAGCAATCAACTGTCCCGGTGCATCAGCAGGCCCCTCCGCCACGCCGTGTTGTATGACTGACAGCAGGTGGGGGTCCAGACCTGTTTCTTTTCATTCTGTTCCCTGGCAGGTCTCGAGACTTGGGGCGCGCCTGCTGAACGCAAACCCATAACAATCATCGTGCCGCCCGTCTTCCATGGCGACGACCCAGTGGTCCTCCTTGCCACGTTTGACAGCGACGAGAAGTTGCAGGTGGGTATGGCGCTGTTGTTATGCACATCGTGGTGTTGTTGTCATTGTCATCATAGGGATGCTGCGCGGGCGCCTGGCGTGGTACGGTACGAGAAAGTGCAGTTGTGCAGGGTACTCCTTGTGCTCATCAGTACATGCCCCTGGCGGCGTTGTCTCAAGTTTATTCGTCGGTGTGCAAATGTGGGAAGTATCTCACAAAAAACGGATGGTGCAATAGTAAGGTCTGGAGTAGCATGTTTCCCAACTTTGTTGTACAACAAAGTTGGGAGGGAAAGTGCCTTGAAGGCTGTCCTGTTGCACCCCTTTGGGAAGGTACCCGGCCTCCTTTGCCATCCCTAGTTGGCTCTGGTTGTGTTGGTCTGTGTGGAATCCTTGCAGCATATCAAATGCCTAGAGACTCATGCAACATTCGTGTTTTTGCCCAGGCAACATCCCGCTGCATGATGAATTCAATTCCCGATGATAGACTAGTGCAACCGCCATACGTACCCACTACGTTATGCTTGGCATGGAACCCATTGCTTACTGTTCAGGAGTACTTGCGCTTGGCTCAAGTTGTGGGCCTCCAGGAGGTGAAAAAGGGCACCAGAGAAATGGTCTGCACTGTACAAGAGCTCGTGCCTCACGCCATATACACACATGTGCCCAGCTTCAAGGAGGACTTTGCCAGGCTGCTGCGGGAGGCGCGCCACTTGCAGCAGGCTCGTAGGGATGAGTTTGCGCAGGCCATGCTGGAGCACCTCAAGCACGAAGAGCCAAATGAGGTGGGATTGGCTGTGTGGAATGTGGGAGGGCCAAGTGTATGTTGATGCGGCAAGCAGGGCATGGCTTTCACAACAAAGTTGGTTATGGGCTGCAGCAGTGAAGGCTCAGTGCCCCAGCCATCTCAGCTGAACAAGTGAAGCCGTTGCCTTGAGTGCTGCTGCAGTTGCCTTGAGACATGGCGGCCGAAGATTGGAACCATACAATCATGAGAGATGGCTGCCTCAATACGCACGTACCCCAGGAGGTGCATGCACCACCATCACCCGTTCAGCATTCATGCTGAACATGCGGGCCTTGCGCTTGCAGGGTTATGAGCTGCGAGAGGACCTGCGCATGCTGCCCAGCCGCGATGGCAAGATGCGGGAGGATGACGTGATGATCATGGGCAAGACAAACGCGTGGATCGGCTCCCACAAGACACACGTGAAGGGGGCCAAGTGCGTGTCATCGTTTGTGCATGTTTCCAGCAGATCAATAGTTGGTGTTTGTGAGACACTGGCCATGCTGCGAGGCAGATAGATTGACACATTGCCTGGTTGCCTGTGCTTTAGTGGTGCCGCTTTTTGTGTTGCAAACAGGCTTGCAAGTTGCCAGCAAGGTAGGTCAGCCCTCCAGGATGCTCGCATGCCCTGCCAAGCGTGCTCATGATGTCTGGCTGCGCATCTCTATAGGAGGGAGACCTGTGTGCGGCAGGTGTCTCGGATGCTGCCGGGCGGGCAATCCACTATATGTGGTGCAACTTGGTTGGGCCTGGTTCCCTGCAGTTGACAAGTTGTGCGCACAGTGTTGGCCAATTTCATGGTACCCAGCAGCAGCTGTCAATCAACGCGCACATACGCAGGGCTGTGCGACAGGTTGCTGACCGCGCCAAGGAGCTGGCGCAGCTGCCCAACGAGCTGCCCCAGGTCGTGAAGCCGGCGTTCATGGTGGAGCGAGTGCAGGATCCCTCTGCAGAGCGCAAGGTGGAGGATGCCTGCCGGAGGCTGCAGGTGCTGAGGTTCAAGCGCAGTGGGCATGCAATCAGAGTCGTCGGCAGCTTGCTTGCCAGGGACAGACACTGCCTTCGCAGGCTCTAAATGTGGAACTGGGGGGGTGCCACCGTGTGCCTGGAATGGAGTTGGACATGCAGTTGTGGTGCAATGAGTAACAAATCAAACAAGATCAGATCTGCAGGCCCAGTCGAGATGAAGATTATACTAGGGATTGATACGGGGCTCAGCAGTGTCAAAGGAGGTGGGCGCCTGCTGCTGCTGCTGCTGCTGCTGTTGCTGCTGCTGCTGCTGCTGCTGCTGCTGCTGCTGCTGCTGCTGCTGCTGCTGCTGTGCAATTGTCATGATGGAGAGTCCCATGAAAAACTCTCGTGTGTGCCTGCTGCAGCACCGCTACAAGCAAATAGTTTTGCCTCACATGCCCGTGCGGGCCATGCATTCAGCTGCAGGGTCTTTGCTTTCACAGTTCTTAAGTGCTTCAAGCCCAACCTCCGCCACAAGGTTCAAATTGAAAACTTGTTGGGATTTTAGCAGAATTTGAATATTGTGCTGGTGCTGCGTATGAAATTGCTTGCAGGTATGCACATAGACTGCTGCACATGCCGTGTACTGCGTAGCCTGCGGTCGGTGCTGACAGTGTTGTTCGTTCGCAAGACTCGGCGCTTGTGCCTATCACGGCAGGCTTTACCCTTCTCTAAGTTGACGTTATTTTCCCTGGTCCTTTCCGCTCTTCGCGTGCCAATCTGGCGTGTAACTGCCCAATGCGTTTGCTGTACTGCACTGCCACAGGGTTGGCTGGTGGCTGTTGGCGAAGGGGGGTGGTATAGTTCGGGTGAAGTAGTTCGGGTGCTGAGGCGAAGGCGTACCGTACGCAAATGCAGACGTCACATGATGCTAGCTCAGTCTTGGAAATGGCCTGGCAATGATACGCATCGAATGGTGGGATGTGCGCCGCACGGCACACCTTGATCGTCGGCGTGCGTGCTGTGCACAAGCCTTTGTAGCCCCAAGTCCCAGCGGTTAATCTAGGTTGCATGGTTCGCCCGCTTTCTTTGAACAAAAAGGCCTGCGCTTGAACTGATAGCAGCAGCTGGGCCCGCACCCGGCCAGCCAGTAATGCGAGCCCCACGGGCCTGCTCCCGGCCGCCAGCAGGGACTACGGTACCGCTCACGCAGTCATCACCCAGCTCAGCGGCGTATTGACCAGGTCAAGCGAACTGTGTATTACATGTCCAGCGGCGAGGCTAAATCCCTGCCCCGCACGCTGCATAAGGAACATAACCCATAAACATCAGTGGCAGGCTTGTGCTGAGTAGTGCGTCGGCAGCGAGAGGGGCGCTCGGAAGCCATGCTATAGGCCAAAGGCACAGGGCAAAGAGGGGGAGGGGCAAGTGGCTGCGCGGGAGCAGGCTCTCTCTTCCTGGCTACTGCGCTCGGGCGCGCGCGCGCTGCAGGTGCGCTTGTGCAATCGCGCGGGCGCGGGGCGCGCCACGCGGGCGGTCTAGTGTACAGGGCCGCGCCCGGCGCGGCGGCCGCCGGCGCGCTCTCCGCTCTCGGGGTGCGCGCCTCTCCGGCCACAGCCGACAGTTGCTGCGGCGGCCGAGGCCGCCGCCACGCGGCGCGCGGGCGGGCCGGGGGGCGCGCAGGCTCCCCGCCGCCCGCCCGCCGCGTGGCGCAATCTTTGAATTCGGGCCGCTCTGGTGTCCCTCCCCCCGCTCGCGCCGCGGCACCCTCACGTGCAGACGAATCATCGGAAACCAGGAACCCTCAAGGCGGCGGCCCCCCCGCCAGGTGGCCAGGAAGCCGCCGGGCGTCGGGCCCCGCGCCCGGGCGCGGGGCCGGCTGGCGCTCTGCGCTCCAAAAGAGAGAGGACGACGGATTGCAGGAACACAGCGAAATCAATGCGCGTGAGCGATCGCAAATGCCCCGCGGCGCGCGGCCGCGGACGCCGGCGCCTTCCAAGCGGCCAGACGGCTTGGGCCGCCGCGCCGGGGCCGAGCCGCGTCAGATCACATCAGATCAGATCAGATCGGATCAGAAGTCGACCAGCGCCTCGATCTCATCGAACGAGCCGAGGGCCTCCCCCTCTGTGAGCACCCTGCAGTCCACCATGCCGTCCTCCTCCTTAGTGATCTCCAGCACAGACACGGGCGCGTCGAGCACGCCGCTGCTCATGCCCACGTCGATGCGCCACACCAGGCCGTCGCAATCCACGTTGGCGCCCCGCATCTGGTGTGTGTGTGTGTGCGAGAGTATGTGTGTGTGTGTGTGCATGTGTGTGTGTGCATGTGTGTGTGTGTGCATGTGTGTGTGTGTGTGTGCGTGTGTGTGCGTGTGTGTAGATGGCGGCAGACGGAAAGCTGGGTCGGGCCAGCGCCGCTGGTTGGTCGCGCGCAACAGCACGACCGCCCTATGCCGACGCCCACCCCTCAACGGCCCCAGCCCGCCCGCAACCCCCGGCCCCGCGGCGCCGCCGCCCCCACCTGCGGCGTGTGGCCGACGACGAGCCGCTTCGCGCCGACCCTCATGAGCGCCTGCTGCACCTGGTTCTTCGCATGGTAGCGGTCAGCCGGGTTGCTCCACTTCTCCTGAGACAGCGAGCGGTTCCACATCACAGACTTGCCGTCCCCCATGGCCAGGAACGGCGGGCTGGCGTAGCCGTCCTCCACCTTGTCGCGCCGCATCCAGGCCGCCACCTCGCTGTTCATCTTCTCGATGCCGTAGGCGACTGGTGTTTGAGGGGGGGGATGTTCCACACAGGATTGGTTTTGTTGGGAGTTGGGGGTGCGCTTGCAGCGGGCGGGGCGCGGGCGCGGCGGAGGGCGGGCGTCGCGCATGCAGGCGGCTGGGAGTGGGCAACGAACCGAAGGGTTGGTTGGCGCTGTACGCACCATGTGTGGGCAGCAGGCCGCCGTGCGCGAACGCTGTGTCGTTGACGATGAGGACGGTGGGGTTGCGGGACAGCATGCGTGCCACCTTGCCGCCGGGGAGGTACAGCGCGGCGCGCGCCTGGGGGGCGGGGGTGGGTGGGAGGGAGGGGTTTCGACGGGCGACGAGGGGGTCGCCGAGCTGTCGTAGGGCGAGGGAGGAAGAAGCCGCAGGGCCCCCTGCCTGGCACGACTGCAGAACGGCGCCAGGGTGCTGTCGAGCAGCGCGGACTACGCTCTGTCGGAAAGCGGGGCGGCGGCGATCAGCCGTCCTCGAAGCCTTTTGCCCGGCGTGCAGGTGCTGCCACACCCGTGCGCCCCGGCTGCTGCCCCGCCGCTGGCCCATGGTGCCGGCGCCTCCGCAGCCGCACCTGGATGCACCCGTCCCAGCTGCGCAGCGCCACGTCCCGCGGGATCCCGAATTCGATGGCGGACTCTATGAACGCTCCAGGCGTGACGTACCTGATTTGATGCGCGGGCGCGACAGCCGAGCGAGGACCGGGGGGGGGGGAGTGAGCGCGGGCGGCGCGACGGCGGGGCGCGTACGGGGCACCGACCGCACGCAGGGCCGAGTGGCGCCGCGCGCTGCGGTTGCGGCAGGTAGCGGCTGGCGGTGGCGACGCCCGCGCGACGAGAGGGCAGCGCACCTGAAGTCCCCGCACACATTCAAGCTCTCTGCGAGAGGGGGCGGGGTTGGGCGGGCAGGTGGCAGCAACAGAGTCAGAGCGCCGTATGAGCGTGCAGTGCGCCACTGTTGGCTGCGGTCTCGCTGCGGCCCGTCAGAGCGCCGGGCGGCGCAGAGCCAGCGGCGGCAGCAGCGGCCGCGGGGCCCGGCCTCGTCGGCCGCGGCCCGCCGACCGCAAGGCCTAGCGCTCACCGTGGTTCCCATTGAGCATGTACACGCCGCCGCCCTCCTTCTGAGCCTGGTTGTCGAGCTCCAGGAAAAGCTTGATGATACCTGGGAGAAGAGGCCGGGGCCGGCAGCAGCGCAGTGTGGGCGGCCGTCGGCGGGCTGCGGCACGGCCCAACCTGACCCGCGCGCCGCCCTGGCCGCTGGGTCGTCGCAGCCCGAGGCGGCGCCCCGTCCCTGGCACGGCCCCGCAGCGCTCGCGCGCTGGCCGCCGCGCACGCGCGCCACGGACACAGGCGACAGGCGCACCCACCCTTGCATCGAGTTGACCCAGGCAGCTGCTCCAGTGTGCGGATGCCGCGCACGTCCCAAACGCCATCACACAACCCCGCAGGCAACCCTGCACTCACACACACACACAAAGTGTGCGGATGCCCCGCACGTCCCAAACGCCATCACACAACCCCGCAGGCAACCCTGCACTCACACACACACACACACACACACACACACACCGTCGCCCACCTATCTCCGTGTTGCCCCTGTCGAGCACGTCCCCCAGCTGCACAATGACCGTGTCGCCCCCCACCCAGCGCGGCACCCCGTCGTCGTCGATCTCCAGCACCCGCGCCAGCTTCAGGGACGCAATGGTCTTGTCCATGTCCCCATGCAAGTCGCCGACTGTTTTTTGGGGGGGATGGGGGGCAACGGCGCGTGCGGGTGCGCATTTGCAGCGTGCGGCGCAGGAATTGGCGGGTCGGGCAGCCGCAGGTGCACAGAGAGCAGGCGCGCCGCGGTGCCGAGCAGAATGCGGCAACGGTGTTGAATGGAAGGGAGGCGGAGAGGAAGCACTGGTTCGCACAGCAATTCACGTAGGCGCCGCCCCGCGTGCACGGCAGCCTGCCCCAGACCCCAGCTGCAGCGGGTGCAGCTCACTGGCGACGACACGGCCCGTTGCAGTAATGCGCGTGGGTGGCTCCCGCAGCTCAATAGGGTCGTCGTCATCCGCTGGGTCCGGCAGGGGCACAGACACGGAATGGAACTGTGCCGTGCTCGCTGCACCCGCCACCACGCGCGGCGTGCGAACGCCGCTGCCGGCGCATCGCCCCGCACAGGGGTGGCCCGCGCTGCTGAATTGGCTGCTGCTGTTGCTGCTGCTTGTACGCAGGTGCTCTACCCGCGATTGTAGCAATATCCGCGGTGCCGGCCCTCCCGCACCGCGCTGCCCGAACAAGCCACCGCCCTGAGCAGCACAGCCGGTGTTGTTTGGCTGAAACAGCCTGCTGGACAGTGCCATACTCCGATGGAGCTGCGAGCGCGCCCCCTGGAGCCCCCTCGTGGTTGCGGTGTCAGCGGGACGAGTCAGGGCTGCATGGGGTCCGCGGCGATGCTCGATCAGCTGCTAGCAACACAAGTCAAGAGCAGAGTGCACGCGCGGACCAATCCACGTCGCACTGGATGGGCACGAGACAACCACGACGCCCCCGTCTAGCAATACCCTGCGGATATGGGATTATGAAACGCAGTTTTTGTTGTTCCGCAGCATTGCCTTGCTGCAAACGGCAGCGGGCACCCCCCCAGGGTGGGGTAGGGACCTCACCCCCACCCCCTGGAGTGGGGATCAACGCCCCAGCAGCAACAGCCACATCGCAGCCATCATGCCAACACTTGAGACACTCTCGATTGCCTCCTGCATTGAGTTTCTTAACACATGGTAGCCACCAGGGCCAACTTCGCACATCGGGCTCTGTGGACTGCCACGCTGCTGGGGATTCATCGCCTGGGCACTTTTTTGCCATTGGCAGGGCACTGATGATCCCTCAGGCTGCAACGCCAACACGGCGGCATGCAGGTCCAGATCCAGGCTAAGAACTCAGCGTTTTACGCAGCCCCTGCTTGCTGATCATGGAACGACGCGGTTGGTACATTGCCAGATAGGATCATGCGGACTGAGGAGCACACCACACAGCACATAGCAGAGGGCAGGGACACGCCGCACATGCGCACAGCAACAATGCCCCCTTTGCTGGCCGCCGGCGCCGGCGCCGCAGCCTCCGCCGCCGCCGTCACCACCGCGCGACTTGCGGCCGCCGTCCACAGGGCGCCGTCACTGCGCCTTTTTATCAAAGCTCAGCCCCTGCACGTTGAGGAACTTGGCGGCGGTGCGCGTCGGGCCCGAGCCCGTGAGCTTCTGCAGGTTGGAGCGGAACAGGGGCCCCGTGGTCGCGAAGAAGAAGGACGCGCTCACATCGGTCATGTCGTCCCCGGGGAGGCCCATGTGGGTCAGGCCCGTGATGAAGCCAGGGGGCACGAACGGCATCTGAAAAGGGGGGGCGGGGGCGGGGGG